AGTGTTTATTTCTATTGAACATTGTTTTCTGATGTATTTGCATTGTTTTCTGATGTATTTTGCATTGTTTTTGTGTGATAGAAATGCATTACATGGGATTTTGAAAACATTACATAACTATTTATGCAAATTTCACAAAATCCAAGATGGCCCCCGTATGCATATTGGATTTTTGGTAGCCAAAATATGTTGGTTGCATAGAATATGAAGATAGCTTCAAGAAAATGTATAGTTTTGCTTGTCTAAACCCATTAATGAAAGACATATAGTTAAAAATCTATTGGTAATAATTTTCGTGGAAATTTTGCAAATAGTTCTGGGACTCAAAGGGTAAGGAAATCTATGCTGAGATACCCCCTAACCATTTTAAATGCATATTCATCCCAAAATATAACTTCTCTGGTGAGATATTGCGCATGCGCTAACACACAAACGTAGCCAGATTGTGTACTGGCTTGTATACGCAGCCGGGACCTTACATGCAAGGTCTTCCTCCTATTTCTTAAATGATGTCTACCTATGGAATGTTATCATATAAATCAATGCTAGGATAACTCCTCTTCATTTTAAATGCATAATCTTTGCAAAATACGATTTCTCTCGGGACATATATTGCGCATGCGCGCGCACCGTGTTAGGCGTGCAGTGCCTTCTAAGGCAAACTTAACAATATAGCTTGCTGCGGGGGAGAGGGAATAAGAGACGGAGGAAATGCGGCAGGAAAGATAGTTGGGGCGGTAGAAGAAAAAGAAGGCTGAGCGAAGGACAGGGGAGGCAAGGGGAAAGTTGCTAGGGCATAAAGTAGGTGTTTTGTACCCTACAAGCTAGGGCGCTCTCTTAATTATAAACACAGGTCTACTGATAAAAGTTTATTAGGGACATCTATGCTGAGATAGCCACTAACCATTTTAAATACATATTCATCACAAAATATAACTTCTCTGGTGAGATATTGCGCATGCGCTAACACACAAACGTAGCCAGATTGTGTACTGGCTTGTATACGCAGCGGGGACCTTACATGCAAGGTCTTCCTCCTATTTCTTAAATGATGTCTACCTATGGAATGTTATTATATAAATCTATGCTAGGATAACTGCTTTTCATTTTAAATGCATAATCTTTGCAAAAATACGATTTCTCTCGGTACATATTGCGCATGCGCTAACACACAAACGTAGCCAGATTGTGTACTGGCTTGTATACGCAGCGGGGACCTTACATGCAAGGTCTTCCTCCTATTTCTTAAATGATGTCTACCTATGGAATGTTATTATATAAATCTATGCTAGGATAAC